GCCAATGGGAACCAGACAAGGATGTCCTTTATCACCACTCCTATTCAATATTGTGCTGAAAGTTTTAGCCAGAGCTATACGACGTGATAGAGAAATTAAAGGCATCCAAATTGGCAAAGCAGAACTAAAACTCTCTCTATTCACAGGAGATATGATCCTAAACATAGAAAACCTCAAAGACACAGTAAAAAAAACTACTAGACCTCTTTGAAAGATTCAGCAAAGTGGCAGGGTATAAGATCAACATGCAAAAATCAGTTGGATTCCTCTATAGTACAGCGCTGAAAAGGACATTAGGCAAGCAACACCATTTACAATAGCCGCCCAAAGGATGACTTATTTAGGAATAAACGTAACCAGAGAAACAAAGGACTTATACAAAGAAAATTACGGAACACTACTACAAGAAATCAAAAGAGACTTACAGAAGTAAAAGAACATACCATATTTCTGGATAGGAAGACTCAACATCGTGAAAATGTCAATACTGCCCAAAGCAATTTACAAAAATAATGCAATCCCAATCCAGATTCCAACAACATTCTTCAAAGAGATGGAAGAGAAAATTACTAACTTTATATGGAAAGGAAAGAAACCCAGGATAAGCAAAGCACTGCTTCAAAAAAAGAACAAGGTTGGAGGTCTCACACTCCCCAATTTCAAAATTTGCTACATGGCTACAGTGGTCAAAACAACCTGGTACTGGTACAATGAAAGAGACATTGATCAATGGAACAGAATTGAGAATCCAGAAATTAACCCATCCACATACAGCCAACTGATTTTCGAAAAAGTGCCTAGGTATATTGCATGGGGAGGAGATAATCTCTTTAACACATGGTGCTGGCAGAACTGGAAATCAATATGCAAAAGAATGAAACAAGACCTTTACCTCATGCCCTATATAAAAACGAAGTCAGCATGGATTAAAGATCTAAGTGTGAATCACAAAATTGTGAAGGTCATCAATGATAAAATAGGGCCAAATGTGAGGACACTAACTCAGGGCATATACACAGACTACCAAACATTTTGAAAAGTACACAAACAAAAATAGACAAAATAGATGAGTAGGACATACTAAAAATTAAAAACTTATGTGCATCAAAAGACTTCACCATAGAGTAAACAGGGAAGCCACAGAATGGGAAAAATATTTTGCAATGACATATCAGATAAGGGACTCATTTCTAGAATATATAGGAAACTACAACACCTCTACAAGAAAAAG